ACCCAACTTGATCCAAAACTCAAAAGGAGCAATGAGTTTGAGGAGCTTAGATTGATATCAAATGTGATTTTTTTTTTCTGTGATGCCCGAGTTAGACTCCCGAGATGAATTTTATGGTTAAGAGATAAAGAGATATCCGATATCGATAATCAAGCATACGATGAATTTTTTATAGCTGATCATCTCTAATCATTTACGGTTAGAAAAAAATATTCTATATAATAAAAAATATTTGAGGAATATTTTTTTTATTTTACTGATGTGGCAAATGCATCGCCAAGACTTTTTATTTCTATTTTTTGTGATGTGACCGTCATGTATCAAGCTCCGAATCGAGAAAAAATATTCCTTATATCACATTTATATCGTGGATCATGCATGTCTTGAGGTAAAATCTACAATAGCATTAGTATCAAAAATCTTCTAGTTTACGGATAGAAGGCTTAACCATGAGGAATGATTTGTTCCTCGTGAATTAAATCAATCGACCAATTACAGATTTCTTCCTCGTTCACAATTCAGCTCAGTCAGGTCATTAAAATTTCTTCCGTCTGGGCTCAATAATAATTCAACGAGAACGATCGATAAGCATTGAAAATATCTTTTTCTTTTCTCTCGTTTTTGATTCATTTGATTACATCATGCATAATGTTGAAAATCGAATGAAATATGGATGGGGACTCTGAGATTTATCCTATTATATCTAGAAGAACATTCGCTTAGGATTAAGCCGCTTGATCGAGTCTACATATCTCAAATAAAAAATATATTTCAATATATTTTATGTTATTCTTGTCTGCTATCATTTCCTTTATGATGCTGATGAATAAAAAATTATTCTCGTCTACATTCTTAATCGTGACAAGGAACTCTTCGATGCAGGAAGAGCACCGGAATGAGTAAGCTTATATGGCCCTTGGGATTCCCTTGGATTCCTCTTGGCTCTCCAAGGCCATTTGGGTCCTCAATGTCACCTGTTCAGCCGACCTATCAGGGAGCAACACCAAGTCATTACCATTTTCCAACCTTTAATATGCATATATAGGTCGTTTTCCTTATCAATCTTAATCACCATCATTCAAGGTTATATCGTTTTCTTTATGAACGATCAGCTTCGGAAGTCAATTCACTGAAAGCAGATCGGACTTGTCAACCCACTCACATGCGATCGATTATTAGATCCCACAAGCAAGCGATAAAGAAAGCCGGGCGGTGCATGATGCTTGGCTCGCCTTCATTTCCTTCAAAGAAAAGAAGAAGAAGATGATGATGGTGATGGTGATGGTGATGATAGTCTTGAACATGCATGCCTCGTCGTCCTCAAAATGATAGCCTTGGTCAGACCTGTGCTCGGTTCTCCCCTTCTATCCTCTAATACTTTAAAGAACGATGTTGCTGAGTTCACCACCGACTAATACAGTTGAAAACCCATACAAAACACTTTTTTTGTGTTCCGACAGTAAGCGTGGAAACGAGTGATCGTATTATGATCTCCTGATAACGTCATGGACACGCAGGAGGAGGGGATAGAGACTTGCAAGTGTCACATGCGCTGCTGCCCCTTCAGGCGCTCGTAGAGCTAATGGTGGCGTGCATGCACCAGAGGGGAGAAGACGAGGGGTCACAATAGGGATTCATCCTTCAAATAATACAAGAGTGGCCTACCGTGTTCCTTCTAATTAATCTAACATTGTGGAAAGAGAGAGAGAGAGAGAGAGATGACGTGCACGCATGGCGTTCCAAGGATAAGTCAGGAGACAAGCGGCGTCGTTAAGTGGCTGCTACCGTTGTTTGGTTGCTGCGCGTGCCATTTGACTCTGCTTCGATACTGTGAGCCCCATTCAGTAGAATGAATCGGTAGCTGCGCAGAGTCAAACCGAGGACGTCACTAAGAGTGTATAGAATGATTGGTCTCCCGAGTTGAAACGTCTTAAGCACGATGGTTGAGACTTAGGCGTCGATTACGACATTCTCAGCCACTTCTGATCATGGAGTTTGGTGGAGACGGCGGCTTGCGTTTGACGCCACGCAGGAATATGTGATGCGTAATGTAGGAAGCTGGACTGTGTTGCTGGAATCGTTCCTTGGTTGAAGATAATGATGGATCATGCCGAATCTTAACAAAGGTTGCTGTCGTCGGCCGCATACATCTACGCCGTAATCTTTGTCATACTTGGATGCAGACTGGATCGAAAAGGACTTGGAGAGAAGAGTTGATTTCAAGGGTGTATTGGGAATACATTCAAGAATGTAATCATCGTATTTTTATTATATTCTTAGAGTGCATTTGAACACATATTTGAGATACGGTATAGTTGACATGATACATATTTTACATATGGATTGATGCTTGACAAGTTTATTTCAAATCTCATTTGGTCTGAAAGTTACATTGTTGAAACACAGCTAACAATTAGGATGCCAATGAAAGTTCTATTTATTTATTTTACATTCATTTATATGATTATATATATATGAGACATATTATTTTTTTATAAGATTATATTTATTTTTTTAAAAATAAAAAATAAAAATAAAAATATTAAAATGATAAATTTATCACATAATATTCGATTGACTTTTGAAATACAACCTTAACAAATAATACTTATGTTAATATACATTTAAAACATAAATTTGTTATCTATTATTTACTAAAGACTTAAAATATTTCATAACTATGTATTCACTCATCATACGTTTATCTCTAAATATATATTAAGAAGAATAAATATATTATTAAACATATAGTGTTAGTTTGACAAGTCCTACGTAGTCCTACATCGGAAAAATCAAGTTTTTTATCTCATATTGTAATTATAAATAAGGGTATGAACTTTGAAGCTAGATGCACCACAAGAAAAATCTAATTGTTTGTTTTGAATTTAATTTTTATTAAGTTCATACTTAGTTAAAATAGTTTGGGCTTATAGTTTGAATTTTTATTGTTTAGCAGTTTCAGGTATTATATGGTCTAGGAATATTTTCCTAAGATATTTATAATTATCCTTTTTATAATAGAGTTTTGCTCCTAAGATAAAAAGTATGAATAAATATGAGAAATATTAATCAGAGTTGATTCGCCAACTAAATAATGCTGATGAAGAAGGGTTTATTGTTCGTGATTGCATGCGACTAAGGATGAAGCATTCTACCCACCGAAACGAGAGCATCTTGTTCATGGTAGCCATTAAGAATGTCTCTCATGATTGCCTGCCTACTGTGTCGAATTGGGCTTCGAGTTGCTTCAGGCCTCATGTCATGCAATGTTTCTGGCCAATCCAACCCACTCCGTCTGTAGCCCTACTCCTGTTTGTGTGTATGAAGAAGATGGTGAAAGCATTAACAGATCTATAAAATATTATTATTTTTTAATTTTAATTGACATACCTTTTAAAACCATCCTTTGGGATGCTTTTTACACTCTTTTAACAGTCCTAAATCAACTCCAGTTGATACCAAAGCATAATCTTTCTCGTTTATTTTTGTTTCTAATTATTTTTATTATTATCTTTTTGATGCTCTCATTCATCAAATGTGGAAGTTAAATCCATGTTAACTTTTAAAAGTTGACACGGATTTATTGGATATATACCGAGCAGTATACCGAGCGATATATCGTTCGGTATATAATATCGTACCGTACCGAGCAAACATCGAAACTCCGATACCATACGAAATTGTTAACACACACACATATATATATATATATATATATATATATATAACTAATCCACATCTTATAGTGGTTACTTACGTAGTATTGCCATATAGAAAGAAAGGAGGGCATTTTATCCAATAAAAAATAAAAAAGAGCCCCCAATATTCATTTTCACAAGTGGGCACTCTTTATTTCACTTGAATGAAAATATCTTGAGATTTTTACTAAAATGATTTGATCACATATGCTATTAAAAAATATAATTTTAATAATTAATTAGTTAAAATACTCGAAAACATACAACAACAAAATATGATACCAAACATCTTATAATCATGTCCTAATGTAAATGTGAAATTTTGAGTTGGTTTTGTGGAAGTTGATCAAGTTACGCTTGAAATTTAACTAAGTTATACTCAATCATGAAAAGTATATAAAAAAAATTAATTTTACTAATTAAATGTTATAAAATTATTTTTAAAAGGAAAAAAAAGATACTAATCATCATAAAATAATGTCCTGGTGATTTTATGAAAGTTTGAATTGGATCTGACTAAATTACACTCAAAATTAAACTAAGTTAAACTCGATCACATAATTTATTAGGAAGTAATTTTGATAATTAATTATCATAAATTATTATACAAATTAGAAAGAAAAAAATGATACTAATCATCTTAAAATCATAACTAAATAGTTTGGTGAAAGTTTGAATTAGTTTAGTAGAATTTGAACAAGTTACATTGAAATTAAACTAAATCACACCCGAACACAAAACATATTCAAAAATCTTTATTTTTGATAATTAATCATCACATAATCCTAAAAAAAAAAGATAAAGTGATACTAATCATCTTATCTTAGCACCACGTTGTAGTGGTTTTGTGGAAGTTTGATTGGTTTAATAGAAGTCGATAAAATCAATTGAATCGTGGAATAAAAATCTTGACTATTCGAGAAATGTATTGATAAGTATGGATTAAGCCAATAATTATATAATTCTGAATTATATCTTAAGAGTTTATATTTTAATTGACTTTTCAATGCGTGTTTGATAGCCATGAAGTCTTTCTTGCTTGTCTGAAGAACACATCGACACGATGATGTTATCCATTCCCACAGTGGTGCATGCAACGCAGCATCCAAATCACGGTTTCCAAAATGATATCCACTCGTCAACTCTGCAGCGTCGTCGTACGTGCAACCTCGAGGCGACGTCGATATCTTTGCATGCAAACCTACAAACTATCACGTCTCACTTCCACAACCATACAAACCTTGAAACCCCTCACTCACATCACCGTTTCCCTAGATTCATCTAGACAACTGGCCTCCCACCAAATCCTCCGTAAACCATTTGCGCTTCCCCAGCATAAATTCCCAAGCGATCAGCCTTCACTGTTGGCAGAAGTGGAGCTTGCAAGAAGGAGGCATGGCGACGTCGAAGCTCTCACCATCGCTTGCTCTCTTCCTAACCCTCAGCCTACTCTTCGTCAACCTCGTCACTCCCTGCGGGAACTGCTGCATCGAACCTCCACACAAGTGCCACCACAAGCCACCCAAGCATGGCCCTTCTCCGCCACCAAGGCCGCCGAGCCCCGGCCCCGGGGCCAGGTGCCCCCGGGACGCGCTCAAGCTCGGCGTCTGCGCCAATGTTCTCGGTGGCTTGCTAAACATAACGCTCGGCACGCCACCAAAGGAGCCATGCTGCACTCTGCTGCAAGGCCTCGTAGACCTCGAGGCCGCCGTGTGTCTTTGCACCGCCCTCAAGGGCAACGTCCTGGGCCTCGTCCTTAATCTCCCCATCAGCCTCAGCTTGCTCCTCAACTACTGCGGCAAGGAGGTGCCCACTGGCTTCCTCTGCTATTAGCTAGAGGTTTCACGTAGCACGTAGGGTTTGTGTTATTTGTACGTGTGTGTTGTCTTAGCAGCATCGGGTGGTCGTCAATAAGCTTAGAATGCATAGCAAATAATGTACGTAGTTCCACTTGGGAATACCGATACATGGATGCCTACTTTTGTCTTGAATTATATGTGTTTTGTATGTGTGTGTGAGAGAGAGAGAGATAACTATTACTGCCAATTTCTGTATGATTACAAAACTATGTAATATATATTAAACAGGACCATAATTATAAAAAAATAAAATAAAATTAACATAAATACTAGAATAATGCAAATTTATGTTATCTACGGCTTCTTTCTATTAACGATTTTTTATTTTTTTCTCTTGTATTAATTCATGATTTGATGTATAATGGTTTTGTCACCCTAAGGAAGAAACTCTATTGGGACCCATTGTTACTTGTATTTTGATGAAGTATTAAATACGATCATGCATTATATAGTACATGTACTGTATGATTTCTCGAAAAAGTATCAAGTTTTAGATTCGGATATCGGCTCTTATTTCTATTCTCCGAAGAGAGCTTTTTCTCTTTATAAAATAAAATAAAATAAAATAAAATATTTTTTAAAAAGTGTTTTCAGTTAAAATCCAATTTGGGTTAAACTATCTCGGTATTACTAAATAGTGTTACATTATTTTTTTTGTTTATAGTGTTTCTTAATAGATTTATAATGTTTTTAGTTTACAATGTTTCTAAATAGAGTTACAGTATTTTTTTTGTTAATATAATAATACTCTTTTTGATTATCGAACTAAAAAAAATTGTAACTTCATTGAAAAACACTATAACTAGATAATATCATATTATTTTTCATAATCATTTCTTCACAATAAGTTATTATAAATGTTATAATATTTTTAAATTCTTAAATTTAAGATAAAATGGAAAAGGAATAGAATTATTATATGGTTTATTTTGAAATATGTCAAAACCTTCATAATTTTCATCTAAAATCATTCAAGTTCTCATATTAATGATTTTATAATACCTTCAAACATGTAGTAAAGATGATATCTATTGTTAGTAAAAAAAAATTAATCAATTGAAACTGGCTCACAATATTATTTTATTAGTTATAATATTTTGGTTCAATTCAAAAATATTGTAAACATTAAGACATTTTAATAAATAAATTGAATATTTTTAATAAATAAATTAAATATTATAATATATTTAAAAATTATATTTCTAACTAACTTTAAGGTTTTGTGGACTTGTCATTCTTTATTTTAAAATATGTCAAAATATTCTTAATTTTCATTCAAATATAAGCCTAAATTTCACAAGTTAGATGGTACCTATTTCTTCTTCTTCAATCCTTCAAAGGTCATATAAAACCTTATGTTTCAGTTATGTGATATCGTTAAAAGAAAATATTTTGGATCATTCCGACCATGGTATCGTCGATTTCAAATGCTTTAGACCGACCAATTCAAAGTATCCAACTAGTCGATACGGATTTGTGGCTCAAGGGTTTTCTTCGTCATCAAGGCAGATACACGAGGTGCCATGGCCTTGCATGCATCCCCTCGATCCCGTCAACAAGAAGATACAAAGAAGCGCGAGAGGTGGAATTTGCACTGATAGTCTCATCCTCCCGACGATATATATTATTGTCTTTATCTTTGTCGGATAGTAAGTACATTTGTAATCAATCTATAGACGTAACAATGAATCTATTAATGCAGTTTAAGCACTGCTGCGTAGATGATAGATAGAGTGTGCAATCTTTCGAGGTGCAAGCGACCGACGGGATCATCGGTACCGAGAATTCCGAGTTCAATGCAGGACCTTTGGTACCTTTAATTACTAGAATCACGAGATAAATGAAGCATCATTATTTGGGGTGGGGTATTTGGGGGTGGAGGGGTGTTGGTGAACAAATGTATTGTGGTTGGTGAGTCAGCATAGCTAGGTTCACGGGTCGATGTCGGGAGTTTTCTATCGGTTGAGTTGGACGCCAAGGTAGGTCGAGCCTTCGCGACGGGGTGTTGGTTAGTGTTTCTTGGTTCGAGCGCCATCTGTGTCGAGCTACGTCTCTCCGTTCCCGGGATAGGTGATAGCTCGCCCTCGTTCACTGGATGGCGATTTTCGGGTCGAGGTGCTCGTGGCTGGGGGGTGATCGCTTTCCTGCAAAAAAGGCTTTCATCATGTGATTCCCGACTTTGGCCCCTCCAACGAGCAAGTCAGTTGTGGGTGAAATTATTTTTTTCCTTCCGGGCCGGATGCCGGTCAAAGATCTTTATACTACGGTACGAGGGTCGATCGTACGCGAGTTGACATGGTGGACGTGCCAAACAGTGTCTTGGTATAGATTCTGACTTATCGTGTATTGGAGGCGACGTCGTCCCAGGATTCTCGGAACGAGACGTGCCGAGCAACGCCTTGGTACGGATTCTGATCTAACGTATGGCATCGATTGTAACATATTTTGGACCCAAAATATGTCTTAGGGGAGGGGGGGGACTCTTAATTTCAAATAATGCATGCAGCTCATGAATTGATAACGTATAAATACATTTATTTTCATATCAATTTGATATTGAGGAGTATAGAAATTCATGCTTTATAAACGCCATAGCCATCATTTATCCTCATCCTCGGTGACACCCTTATCGGTGGAAGAAATGCCATTGCATGCATTGAGCTTGGAATATATCATCTCCGTTATCAGGAAGCTTCTGTCACCGCACCTTAGAAGAGAACAAATGTGGTGGAAACTTTCGATGATGTATTCCTCCTATATAAGATAATAAATCTAATTTATTTATTTTTATTTTTTTTGTTGTCATGTGCTCTCACTTAATAGAGTTCCAATAATTTAGGTTGATAATATTGAGTTTTAGAAATAATGAGAGATTACTGCCCCACGTATGAATAGTTGGTGATATTTGTGAAGTATTCATATATGAGATATGAAGATTGAATGAAGACTAACAATAGTTTCATGTTGGTAAAATTTAAAAGAGTTTAGTTTGATCCACTAAATTTTTGGATTAAATTGATCCCCAATTCCAACTTGCTTTGCTTCTTAGTAACCATATGGTATACAAGACAGTTTATTCTTCTGCCATAGATATAGATATATATATATATAATGTATAATATCTCAGTTACAATTTTTGCATCTAAATGGAGAGATAAGAAGTTGTCCTAAAATAATTTACTACAATTACTTATTGTTAAATATAGTGCAATCTTCCTCGTTATAGCACCATGTAAAACATAATCAAGTTATATGTACAGTTTGGTATCCTAAGGTGTTCTCCCCACTGTTGGTGGCACAATGCACTGCATATTCTACTGCATATTCTGGCATCCGAAGGTGTTCTCCCCACTGTAAACGAAGTAAAGGAATCCATCTTCATCTTTCTTATCATCATACAGCCGAGACATCAGAATTCCTGAGTTAATCAGAAAGGAAGGCAGCAGGAGTTAGTGTTTGATGTGGATTTGGAACCAAATGACACTAGCAGTCATGACAAATAGATGAAGTACCAGTTGGTGGAAGCGCATTGTCTACAAACATAAATATGGCTTTCTCTGCACCCGTATTTATACTCTTGTGGATAATATGGACAAACTGCCCGAATGTCATCTCTCCTGGGACCAAATACCTGCATTTATATCAATAAGAAAATATCTCTTTAACATTCAAATTTTCATCAAAAACAGATAATCCCATTACTTAGAAATGCAACATAACCAAAAACATAGTTCTCCTGAAATATAGTAAATGATAAAGGAACTATAATGGTTTTAATACTTCAAAAGGGGAATAAAGATTGTAATTTATTATATGAGGTACATACTTTTGCTTGTCAATATTTGGCACATCACTTGTATCTGCCTTCTCCACAATCACCTGAAATCCAGAGATGTATAAGTCAAGCAAAAGAGAGAAAAACATATGTAGTATAAAACCTTAGCATAGCAAAATAGCAATATGATAAGAAAACAAAAAGAATTAAAAAAATAATTATGCTAATCAAATTGAAAAAAAAAACTTAATTTATAGACTAATATCCATAAAAAATGGTTTCACAGAAAAAAAAAAAACTGATGTAATATTAGGGTCCTTTAATATGAAAAAGATAACCAAATGCACAATATTCTTGTTAATTATGGAGTCTAAGGATAGTCAGATATATGCTACCTAAACTGAGAGGTCGTTCATGTGACTTGAACACTAGTTACTCAAAACAGTAAAGAAGCAATTTTACTACCATACCAAGGCTCGTCACATTTTTATCAAAATATTCTGTCCTAATAATGTAATATTATGGGTCTCATCATGTCACATATGAACCAGAAGAAAATATCTGTTTCAAATGTAAAAACAATAAGTTTCCTCCATGTATTATGGTCAGGTTGGTTTAGATACCTGCACAATTATTGTGCACAGAGGCCAATCTCTCCAAAATGAAATACAATTCAGACTCGATCTTAGTTCACCCTACAGACTTACTAGCAACTCTGTCTATTTTAAACTAATAATTTAATGATATAACTAACTTGGACTACGTATGAACTCAAAACAAGCTTCAGTCCAGCTTCTCAAATATCCAGGCAAAAGCATCTAGAAGAAGATTAACTGCATCCCCATAGCTTCAATATCAAAAACCATAAATAGTTCTTGACAAGCATCAACAAGACAAAGGTGTGCATGGATGACATGTCTTTGCAACTGGTGCAACACAAATAGCAGCACCATAAAATTTCTTTGATATCAGATATTACAAGTAAAAGAAAACACTTCTTTACAATCATCAAATAAAGTAAAGCATACATCGATGACCTGACTTTAAAACTCAAACATCTCTACTTCATTTTTTGTCTTAAAGCCAGTAGGTCAGAGTTACATGTATACATCCATGACAAATTTTTTGTCATTTACACATCATCTTAAATCAGTCTAATTAGCTGATCCAAAAATAAGAGAATGAGGTAAGGAATCGCATGTAGAAAAAAAAAGGATATTAACAGTCTTCTTGTTAAAGCTAATGAATTAAAGCTAAATAATGACAGTTTTCCTTGAACCCAAGAGTCTAAAATGAGTAGCTCAATTAGATCACTCTGCTGCTAGAGGAATATTGAACATAAGCCAATCGACAACAACAAACTTTTAAATCCATTGGAGAAAATTTAATTCTCATGCTGTTACCTCTTTACAATCATCTCAATCTCCAATTGCCTAGTTTGACATTTTTAGCTTTTCATAAAGAAATTTTCATATTTTAAAAGAAATCCTAGCAGCATCTAGGATATCAGTTTAAAAAAGAGTGCTAACAGTGTTAAAATCCCTTAAGTATAAAACAAAGTTATACTAAGTATACTTGAAGTTATAAAAGACAATGCAAGTTAGAATAAGGGCAGAAATTCTCCTGTGCATAAATACTGATACAATAATCAGGAAAGATTTATGTTCAGCATCTGCTTCTGACACAGTTTCTTTTACCAAACCATGCAACACGATTTGATATGTGTTGTGCTATCGCTAGCTATCTCATAAAATGGCCAATCCAACATTTCGACTTGTTGCGGTTGGCATAAAAGGTTCGTCGGCCATACATACTGTCAGCAAGATATGACAATATATCCCTGATATCATTTCCCACCATAAACTGTTAGCCAACTTTTCTTGGCTCTAGTTAATGCAACTACTTTACACATAATTTAGATATCATCGATCAATTAGTGCTTTTGAGGAGCATACGAAAAAGAACTACCAAGGGGCTTGCTCTCCCATCAAATCGCAGCTAGCAATGGTATTCGGAATTCCCTATTAGCAACTGGCTACACTTTAACCTATAACAATCAAATGGTTTCTCAGCATCAACAATACAACACATAATAATCATTACCATTTCTCCTATATATCTCACGGCTCCATTTTTCTCCTAGCCAATCTATTATTCTTATGGAACACTGGTTACAAGAAACCTGATTCCTTACACAGAATTGCAAAACAAATGCCCAGAGACACGTCCATATACTTAACAGCATTTAAGAAGTACAAAAAATAAGCCTCGTTGTTGGATTTTAAATCTTGATGAAGAATAAATTAAATATTGACAAGACGAGAATAATGCAGTTTGGGATTCTATGAACTTCGATGAAGGAGAAACAAACCACAGAAAGAAGAACAGGATGAAGAGAGAAAAACAAGTTATTTGCTCTGGAGACGAGAGATGACAACGAGTAATTGCGATTACTCGACTGCGATCCAACGAAAAAATAGAGCATTGGCCATGACAAGATGATTCACAGCATTGCCACATTAACTTATCCACCAAATAAGATTCATTCAAATTGAAAAAGGAAAACATCGATACAAAGAATCCGAGAAAGCCAACCAGCCAACTTTCTTTCGCATTCAACACACACAAATTACCCAAAATACACCTAAACAATCGCACCAAAAACAATTCAAGGGATGAAATGCTTACCGGAAACCTGCCAGGGTATTTATCCTTGATCCACTGCGACTCCGTCTTCCTCTGCTCTGCAGACAAAAAGACCAAACCACGGATCCATCACGCATCAAGAACACACCAAAATCACAATAAAGGAACAAACGGAAAGGGCGACGCACCGAACTCATGCTGCTGCTTGAAATTGCTCTGACTCCTCGACATATCTACCTGCAACCACCGCACCAATTCAAGGCCACAGGAAAAATCGATCAACAACTCGAATCAAACAAGGAAAGGCCGGACCTTTGCGAGACGAAAAGATTAGGACTTTGCTTATCCTTAGGTTTTTGCGCGGGGGCGGAGGAAGAAAGGAAGGAAGACTTCGAGGAGTAGACGGCTTGGTTGGGTTGGGAGTGGAGTCTCATCTGCTGAGGTGTCTATGTACATAACGCTGGAATTTGGTGCGTTACGTATCGGAAAAGCCGCTCTCGTGCGTGTCGGTTTAGTGCTCCGTTACATAGTTTCTTGGTTTCCTTGTTCTATTTTCTATATTTACTTTATTTTAGAATAGCATAACACACACACACTAAGAATCATATATATATATATATATATATATATATATATATATATATATATATATATATATATATATATAATTAATTAATTAATTAAAGCAAAGTTAGAGGTCTATAGACTAAGAATCATTTCTTCTAGAAGTATTAGTATCATCCCAAAGTTGAAGAGGTCCATATCTAGCAATAAGAATCATAACCCACAACACATCATCCATATTAAAAAGGAGAATATTTCTATTTAAAAGGAGAATAATTCTGCACAAATATTTTTTTTCACAATATCTCTAACTGCTAAATCATTTTATCCTTAGACTTAATATAGTCACAACTGATAAGCTTCATTTTTCTCTTCGTTGATCATTGTTTCAAAGGAATTCTCGTGAATCATCTTCTAAAAATCTTATCAGAAATCAAACAATTTAAAAGTAAATATATAATAATAAAGTTAATAACAAAATTAAAGAGAATAAGTTTACTAGATTGCCTTCTTTCTCTAGTTTTTCTTTTGTTTAATATTTCTTTATTTGATATTTTATCCTCATACTTAGACTATGATAAAGGATTATATCCTAATGTTAAAGAAATAACAATATGATTTTTTTTTTCTTTGGAGACAATAACCTTTTAGTTTACATATATATATAAAAGAGGAAGTGGTCAAGCTAATGGTTTGAATCAGATCGAAATGGCTCTATTTATGTCAAGACCAAATTATTATTTATTTTTATAGAAAAGGCTACCAAAATTATCTATTAGTGAAATTTTGGAATGTCATTAGTTTTATGTATTATATAGGAAATAAATCAATAATTGATCTTCCTGAACAAATCATCTACCAAGTGTAGCTATCGAGGCCATCTCAAATATTAGCCCACGGGCCTAGATTATGGGCTTATGGGCCACCAAACAGAAACTAAAACATAAAGCAAGTCGTGTGCCAAACACGTGCGTACGTGATTCGATTTCGAAGGTGATGTATGACGATCTGAATCTTAAATCATATTCCTCGCTAATTGGACGATCTTATGCACCTACACTTTGCGTTCGATGGAAAAGTACATCAATTATACGAGGAATGCACCTACGCTTTGCGTTCGACGGGAAAGTACATCAATTATACGAGGAATGCACCTACGCTTTGCGTTTGACGGGAAAGTACATAAATTATACGAGGAATGAGCCCCCAAATCTACTGTGAGCTAACAAATATATACGCTATTAGCCAAAATAAAAAGACATGGTGAACTTTGATGGTATCAAAAGGCATTCTAACATCGGTTTGACATCATTTTTTTATCTTGTGACGAACAAAGTACACAAGACTAATTATGTTGTTTGAAATTATATATGTAAATAAGAAATTTAATATTTGGATACTTTAATACCAAATGTTAATAGAATGGATTTGATGATAACCATTTTAGATATTGGAATAACGCGTGATGACTATTTTTAGTTGAATCAACTTATTTGCCTTTGTATTGGGATTGCATTATCGATTCCTTAATTTACATTAATATATTTAAAATTATATTAATAATATATATATAAATTGGAGAAGAGATTATGATTTGTTATCGAACACAATACAAATGTTTGTGAAATAATTTATGTTTTAGGAAAGATACTTATAGTGCTTTTTTTTTTTTTTTCGCACGGTAAGTCTAGCTTATAAATACATCATCCTTTTTCTTACGAAATGAATATTTTATAGCTCCATTAAAGTCCATGATGATGTAATCGTATACAAAGTTTAGCATGTATCACTCGCTAATTGTATTTTTTTTAATCGAATAAATATTGAATTTTTTTTTTTTTACAAAAAAAGTAATTCTCGAATACTATATTTGTTCCTAAAACGTCATCAACATACAAAAGACATTACCGATTACGTCATTTGGCATCTTTGACTTATCCTCCGATTGATGATTCAGTATATAATTGCACGACATATCTGTCCAAATGTAGATTATCTTTCTCCATTAACCATCTTGGGAGAGGGAGTGCAAACAATTCTTGGTGTTGGCACCTCATTGCCTCCTCATGTACAATGAACAAAGACACTCTCTCACTCTGATAACAATCAAAACATATGCACAACTTATTTCAAGAATTCTACCATTTTTGGAGTTCCTTCTCTCAAATTACAAAAAGAAAGGCTATCTTTCAATCTATTCCTTCCCTTCGATACAAAGTCATCTCATTGATCCAACTTTTAATTTGGATTACCATCCAAACCAAAGGTAGCACAATTGGGAGGTATTCTCAAAGTAGTGTGGCACTGCCACACATTATTTTCCTCAGGAGGGACACTAACCTATCTTTAATTCATCAACAAAGCAAAGGAAAGACCACCACATGCCATGTTTTGTTTTTGCCTTCAGCTATCTTCCTTGTGTTCATAGGAATCAAGGCATTGTAGCTCACATACATCCTTCTTTAACCATCAGCTTGTTATGATCATACGCTGCACCGACAGTACCTTCTTCCCTAGTCTGTTCATTGCACATTCACAAGAACTGGAGGAAGAAGCAGAATTAATAAAGAAGAGCATGGCATGTGCTTAGCTAATCTTTTTTTATTGCTTAGGGGCAATGATTGCAGAGATGAGGTTAATTAACAGGTTGAGAATATATAATATAGTACCTTGTCAAACTTGTCTAATCAAGTTTGTAAGCTACTCCTGCTGTGGTAGCATTGGAAGGTACAAGGTTGGCTTTTCTTGCAGGAAATTTGCTGGGGCCAATCGAGAGCTAAATAGGAGTTCTGGTGTTGTTATCATAAGAAAAATACAATCACAAAACACTTGCTTAAAATCCTTGGGACCATTGGAGCATAATTATTTGATCTGTACTGGCTAGAAAGCTGGCAAACAAATGAATGAAATCTGTCAAAGAAAGCTTCAACCAGTCAGTCTTTTAGTGCTGTAGATTGGTCAAGCAAGCTGAGTTAGGAGACTCCAAGGTTTAATAGGAGATGCAGAGTCTGCCTCTATGCCTGGCAGGAAAAATGGAGACAGTATTTTGCTGGCTCAGAAGCTAATGAGGGGCCACAACAGGAGCTGCATGTCTCCTACATGTACTCTCAATGTAGATCCTACAAAAGCCTATGATTCATTGGCTTGGAAATCTGCGGAGGTGATGTTTTGCTTGGGCTGACAGTGGATTTTGCAGTTACTTTATCCTTGTGAATTCCCTTGAGAGAAGGCATTTGACACAAAGGGACCCGGAGTATCTCTCTTGTTATGGCCATGGAGTTCTTTTACGGGACATAGAATGAGGTGGTTGTGCAGTTGGATGGATTCAGGTTTCATTCCAGGTGCAAGGAGTTCAAAGTTTGTCATGTGTGTTTTGCTGCCACCTTCTAATGGTTCTTTGACGGGAATCTTACTTGGGTTTGTAGGCTCACAAAGATCCTTGTGGATCTCTCTGCTGTTTCATGTGTTTCTGCAGTTAGAAGAGGGAGAAGTGGAGAGGGTCACATCAGGAGGTGTAACATTGGACTGAAATATTTCTTGGTTAGTAAGATCACAGATAAGATCAATTTCGTTGAACTACAGAGGACTAATTTTCCGGTATCTGTCAATCTACTATTATGGTGTGGAAAGAGGTCAAACCAATGAGAATATCTAATTCTGAGGACAAAAATGCTGCTTGTCACTTGGAAATCAGAACCTCAAAGTGGAGGATTTGTGGAATGCTGCTACATAAGAAACAAGAGAATTGAAGTTTGGTGGCATGGATTGACTGTCTAGTTCATCATCCCATGACTAGCAGTACCAGACAAGCTATAAAATCAAGAACAGTAATCAGGTCAGTGTTGAGTGTAGCTGTGTCTTTGATTGAGCTGTTACCAGGAAACCAGGGGATTTCTGATTAGGTTTTTGGTTAGTACTCGAAGAAAAAGCTTTATGGATAGGAGAAGAGCCACCAGAGAGGTAGCTAATTCTGCCAACACTCTGCACAAAAGTCAATAAGAGCAAAGAGAGTGCTGCTTGAGCTGTGTGTCCTGATGAAGAAGAAGAAGAAGAAGAAGAAGTGATGCAATGAGCTCCTCTCATTCATCTTATTGTCTACTGAGCTGGTTGTCTTGGCAGATTTAGATGGTCTGCTCCTTCTGGCTGGCAATGGTGGCAGTGTGGGTTCATATGGTTCTTCATATCTTCTGTTTAGTGAGAGAGAGAGAGAGAGAGAGAGAGCTGACCATAAAAAAAAAAAGGGCAAATCAAGCACAAGCTCAATCATCCAATAACAATTCAATTGCCTCATCTTTTCCTACAATAAACATTAGAATTAACAGAAAACATAACTCCAAAATTGACAACCACTGTACTTGGTTGCTTAGTACTCAATGTTACCTTCTCAACTGTGATAATTAATAAGGTGGTGTTGTTTTAGAGAGAGAGAGAGAGAGAGCGAAAGAGAGAGAGGAGAGAGTGGGGACCCTGTTAGCAACCACATGGGGCAGCTGATAAACTATTTTGGTTGGGTGAAAGGTCCCAATCATGGCCTTGTGAGAACAATTTGTACCAAAACAAGTGTCTCAAACAATAGACCTCCATGTAGCTCCTCATCCTTCTTTTTGGCATGGACAAGAAACCACATCCTAGAGGCCAACTTGAACTCCCCTTTCCTCTCTCTCTCTCTCTCTCTCTTTCTCTCTCTCTTGTCTCTTCTGCTCCCTCCACCTCAAGATTATATTGCATCAATTCTTTCACTAAGATAACACTAGAATTAGACCCATGAGATGGTGAACTCAATGGTAGCCACGAGCCACATTGTCTTGAGACCCACCACAGTTAGAACCCCAGCGAGAAACGGTCCCCCACCTAATGATGGCATTTAGCTACGAA